ATATAATATGTATTGATATTTTGTGTAAATAAGTTAAAGGCCTGAACTCAATGGGGGACTATGGCGAACATAACCGAGAACTAAGTTCATAGTTACACACTGTACAGTTGCAGGCAGTGACATATTTCTAATCAAGAAAATTTTCACAAATAAAATCAATGATTCTTAAATCCCGTGGGAAACTACAAACAGCCTTTGACTGTGTGTGGTGCAGAGTTGTCACATCTATAGAACGCTATTTGTGCCAAGAGCAAGTTCAATATTTCTGCTGATAACTGACCTTTATATTGCGAAAGCAAATCGAAAGAGTGACAAGAGTCAAACTTGTTACCCAATTTTTTAACTAAATCACATGTAATAATTTATTCACGCTCTGACACGGATGGTTACTGGTGACGAAAACCTATTCATTTACAAGTATTTTAACTTTAAGCGAAGGATTAAATTAGGCAAGTCAGAAGGATTCGAAGTAGGTTAAAAAAGGACCGTCTTGTTCCAAAACGGTCACGCTATAATAGGGGTGAGGCGCATCCAAGGTCAATTCGCATCCAAGGTCAATTTGAACCGTCTCTCGGAAGCGGGTAACTTTATGGGAAGAATCGTGATGCATCAGTACATCACCAAGCCACGAACATCGTTAGTAACTTGAAAAAAGCTCCGGAAGCGTTACAGGTTCTTCTCTATGAAAAACTCGTCTCAAAAGAAGTTTATAAAGATCACTTTTTTTTTACAATAAGGACAAAATGGCAACAAGATATTCAACAAAAGGATGCCTATTTCACTCAATTTTACTTGTTTACACTGCCATGCTATTTTTGTTCACTATTGCTTGGCAATTTATCATGGAAAAACATACGCCTAAACAAAGTTTTCAAATCATTTAATTTTATTACGAATATTCACGTTCTATAAAGAAAGTGTTTCGCGCGTTTCGCTTAACTTATGGTCATTATTATCGGCCTGCTGAGTGTACAATTTGTAGCATAATCCCCTATCCAAAGACCCAGTATTCATTATTGGGTAAAGTTCGACTGAATAGACACCGTTCAGCATGCAGTGAAGAAAGTATAGCAGCCAAAGCTGAGAGTGCACATGAAGAGCGTGGAGAGGTTTTTCGGCGCCGTTAGCAACAACTCTGACTGACGTATGGAACGACTTGGCGTATTTCATTATCTTAAACTGAAAGCGTATGAAATATTGCTTTTGGAAGGGCCGAAGCCACTGAACCTGTTTAAACGACTTCGCTCTATTTGCTCATAAAAGTTCCAAGAAGATCCGTTGTGTTCGAGTAAGATTTTGTGTATGATGATGTGTTTGAAAACAAGCAAAATTGCCGCATTTGGGATGTAGACCAACTTTAAGAGATTTAGCAATGGTTAAGTGTGCTTTATGGGCCGCTAGAATCATCGGTTCATATTTCTTTAAAAATACTGCTGGTTAGAACGTAATCGCTAATAGCGACCATTTGGCACCATGAAACCGACTATTTGTTGCCTGAAATTAAAGCTCGTGTTCTCGGCGATAATGGATTTCAAGAAGTCGGCGCCACTTCGCATAAATCAATGGATTTATTGAGAGAACACCTCGGTAAGCAGATAATTTCACGTTTTGGGCCAATCGATTAGCCACCAGAATCGCGTGTAATCACATCGTTGGTATTTTTTCCTGTAAAATATGTAAAGTCTAAAGTCTATGCAGACGATCCCGCTTCGACTCCGCCCTTGGAGCAAAACACCACGCTTGTCATTGGCCAGTTATAAATCGAAATGCTCGAACGAGTCATCAATAATTGGACTCAAGACATTGACCATCTGAGACGTAAACGGCCAACATTTGAAAGAGAGAGAGTATCTTCAAGAAATAATTGCCAAAGAATATTCTTTACAATGAACTTCCTCATTAAATTTGTTTTTTTCTGTTTGGTTTTATTTTTTAAGTAGGGAACCTTGATCACCTTTTATTTGATATATATAAAACCTTATATTTTCTTACAGAGGGAGTAGGAATGAAAATTAGTCATTTTTCTTTCATCACCGCTCTTCGCAACAAATTTCCGACGTATGAATGCAGATTAAGGGCTCACTTTACTTTTAAATACATAAAACGAGTATATAAATGTATAATATATTTGATAGCCACTAATATTGGAACTTGTACATCCGCTTTGTTCCGATAAATTTTAAGTAAAATAATTTGATCTACGAAAATACGTGGTTTTTAGAAAGGAGTATAGTAAGAATACATATAGTTTTGGGCAAAATATTTAAAAATTATCTTTATTAACACTAATCAACAATCAATAACAATATCAGTCTGCATATATTCGTTCAACAAAATTACTATTTACTCCATACCGTCTTAGAAGCGAAGAATTGAGCTTGGTAGATAAGCAGCACCGGGAGCGCTAACGGGACGTGGTGCTGGGCGAGCTGCCGGGGATGAAAAGTCGTGAACTGGAGCAGCGCCACCATCGTGCGATTGAGACTTTCCACCCAATTGATCGTATTGCTGTTGGATGGCACGCTGAGCGTTGGCCGCATCCTCGGGTGTRCGRTATTTGACAAAGTGTACTTCGGGTTTGTGACGTTGCACATCGTTTTCAACCTGTAATTTGTTAGCCAAATCGCCCAAGTCAGCTTGTTTCTGCAACACGTAGATAGCGATCTTCTCTTCTCCAGCGTGTTTGGCGAGACTGACAGCGGCTTTCTCCAAGCCATTGCCTTCGGGTCCCTTAATGAAGATGACGCGCAAGTTCTTTTTCAATGATTCGATCACCTGACCATTGTCGGCTGGTTCGCTGAACTCGTTCTCATCGGCAGTATATGTGTAGAATTCCTTTTCATATTCAGCAGCTGGTGCATTGTATGAAGGACCGGACTCAGCTGGGCCAACACCACCCGATCCGCCACTGCTGTCGGGACCACCGAGTCCTGAGGAGCCGCCTGGTGGAAATGAAAGTCCGCTGTCCGAGTGTGCCACAGGGTGATAGTTGTAGCCGAGTTTGTCTGCATAGGCAACGGCGATGAGGCAGACGAGGATAAAGGCACGCATTTTGTATTAGTTGCTCGTTATATAATTTCTAAGTCAATAGAAGAAGTATTTAGCACTCAAAGGTTTACTTTGAACTGATTTACTCCTTGTGATTCGGCAATATTTATATGAATCCGAGCGGCTTCCTAAACTCTAAAGATATATCGAGGTTGCAAAAATGCATTTGATTGCTGCAATTTATTTCTATATTATCGTAGTATACAAAAACAACACTTATTTGTCGCATTCAATTAAAATCTGAAGCACCGAAAACTATGAAGAAACTACCAACAATTTTTATTTGATATTAGCGCTCTACTTACCAATAACTGTCTAATAAATCAGGCTTTATACTGCAGAAACGATTCGTATTTTCATTAACTCCAAATAGTGTCTTTGATCTGCTGAACGTTGGTAGCGCATTTGATAATGCGTTCATATTAAAATTAAGCGTTCACATAGAGCTAAAAGAAACTTAGAAAAAAAAACCAAAAAAGTATTAAAAACTCATAGGGTTATTGAACCCTGGTGGTAATTGCAGAAATTGAATCTAAATTATATATTTCATATTAAAAATATGTGCGAGTATTTTGCAAAACGTATTTTGTTCGTCAAGGTATATTGACCCCTTGTATAGACAATACCTTTCCTATGTTCACTAAGCAGATCAGCCAAGATTTGGAACTCAACTAAAGATTAATTACCCATCGCATTTATTGAACAGCGGTATAAAAGACTGAAACCAATCGTCAAAAAACTGTTTGGACCTTATCAGTGTGGCTACTTCTTTCCACTGAATTTTCACCATCCGCCAAATCTTGGAAAAGACCCGTGATAGGAAGATTGATACACACCTAATACGGCTGTTTAAGCTGAAGTTGAGGAACCCCAAAAGCTCCGTCAAGATCGGGAAGCACCTTTCCGAGCTGTTCGATACCAAATGAGGTTTAAAAAAAGGAGCCTCCCTATAGTGTGTCTTTTTCAGTGAATTAAGGTTAAGGAAGCGAAGCGTATGAGTCTAGTAGTGAACGAAGGCAAGGCGAAATATCTCCTATCATTAAACAAACAGTCATCGCATTACCGATTTAGCTCCCACGTCATTCTAGACAGTCATAACTTTGAAGTTATAGATAGTTTCGTTTACCTTGAAAGCAGTATCAGCAGAGTCACTCTGCCAACCGGTGCTACTTTGGAGGAAGAAAAACCAAACTCCAAAATTCAGTTATTATTCCCGTCATACTATATGGCGCGCAGGCTTGGAGAATGATATCATCTGATGAGTCAGCCTTAGGAGTATTCGAAAGAAAGTATTTTCGGCAGATTTATCGTCCTTTGCGCATTGGCTGCGCCGAAAAACGCAGCCGATGGAACAATGAGCTGTACGAGAATACGACGACATTGATATAGTTCAGGAAATTAAAAGACAGCGGCTGCGCTTTCTAGGTCATGTTGTCCGGAAGCGAAATCTGCAGCTCTAAAGGTTTTCGATTCATAATCCAATCGTGGAAGCCGCTTTATCTGCTTCCACGGGTAGATCTTATTAGAGGAGAGATCAGTTAGAGAAGAACCTGACTGCACTTGGTATCGATACAATGTCTCCAAAAATCTTATTTAATTTAAATTTAAGGATTATGAAGATGAAATATTGGTGGAAGTAAATAAAAGCTTATACATAATTTTTGAGCAAATTCTTAGCTTTGCATTTCATTTAAAATAATAATATTTTAGATAACAAAATATACATAATAAACAACAACAGTTAAACGAATCAGTTCATATTCCATATTCCAAGGTTAACTACAAACAATCTTCGCAGAAATTCTTACGCGCGGAATAAGCGCAGAACCGACGAAGGCAGGTAGGAGTTTGCTGGCGCTTTAGGTGCGGGACCTTCAGCAACAGGAGCACGAGAAGCGAAGTTCAGCACTGGCGCTACACCACCGTTATGAGCCTGAGACTTTCCCGCTAATTGGTCGTATTCCGATTGAATGGCCTTCTGTGCATTGGCGGCATCCTCAGGTGTACGGTACTTGACAAAGTGTACTTCGGGCTTATGGCTCTGTTGCGACTGGGTGTTTTGTAATTGTTGAGCCAAATTGCCGATGTCAGGTTGTTTGGTAAGCACATAAATGGCAGTCTTGTCCTCAATAGAATGCTTGGCTAATTGTACTGCGGCATTCTCAAGACCCTTATTTTCAGGTGCTTTAATGAAAATTACGCGCAAGTTTTTCTTAACACTGGAAATTTGTGGCCCTGCGTTATCATTATTGAATTCATTTTCGGGAGCGCTGAAGGTGTAGAATTCCTTTTCGTATGTAACTGCAGCAGCTGGACTAATTGCAACTGGAGCACTGGAACCAGCGCTGAGACCCGTATTGCCGCCAGTGTTGGTACCACCAATGCCACCCAAACCGTTGGTGCCACCAATAGCGCCAAGTCCACCTAATCCGATCGAGTTACCGTGTCCACTAAGGCTCGAGCCACCATGTGTACCCAAACCGCTGGCACCACCACCGCTGTGTCCACCTATAGCAGGACTGCCACCACCGGCTTTATAATTGTAACCGACGTCAGCGCACACAACTGCAGCCAAAGATAAAATAATAAAAGCACGCATTTTTTCGGATTAATCTTCTGATTGCTCGACCTTTGATTCACACTCGAGTTGCTCACTTAGAATGCCTAAAAAATTAAATTTACAAAGCTTATATACATGCAAGTGTCTTGAGTTCGATCTTGCAAATGCAAATTTAAACCATCAAAGCGTCCCAATTGTATACACCTCAATCTGCCTAATTCGGCTACAAGTTCATATCGTTCATAATTTGGAATCGAAAATCACTTTAGTTTGTTTTTGTTTTATTATTATTGTTGCCCTTTTAGTTTGAATGTGCATTATTTTCTTTATTTCGGCCCCTTACAACCTTCTGTGTCAAGCTGCTCACAAAAGACTAAGGGAAAACTTATTAAATTTATTTAATTCGTTTATCTTTGTTGTTATTTTTATTTATAGGCTCGTTAAAGTCAAGTTACAAAGCTGCAATAGCCTCCATTAGTATTATAATATTTTATAATCACACTATAAAAAAAACGATAGATATGAAAACCGTGTAACTGACAAAGGAAGCAGCGGAAGATCAAAATACTTCGACTCTATCAACAAGAAAAAAAATCGATATTGACCTCACACTACGCTCTCTCGTTATGTTATACCCAGCGTACAAAATATAATTTGTAGTAAATTTTATTGGGTAGTCGAAAAAGTCTTTTGTCAATAGATGTCTTTGTGAAGTTTACGGAGACGATGCTGTATCAGTTCGTGTAGCACAGCAATGTTCGTTCGCTTCTGTTCTGGAAATTTCGATGTGAAAAATGCAACTCGCTCTGGTCGGCCTATCGCTGAAAAAGTCGATGAAATTGTGAAAAAGATTGGCCAGGACCGTCACATAAGCAGCCTTGATATCGCTAAGGTACTTAGTATTCCTCATCAAAGGGTTTTGAACCATTTACACAAACTCGATGTTTGGGTAACACATGAAATGTCTGTGAAAAATTTAAAGGACCGAAAACATCTGCGATTTTTTGCTGAAGCGTAAAGCAAAAACGATCATGGTCCAAGCGTGGCGAAGCTCAACATATGGTTGCAAAAATAGGATTGACGTCTTGAAAGATGATCTTGAGTGATCCACTATGAGCTGCTCCATCCTGGTCCAACGATTGATTTTACATTTTACTATCAACAACTGATGAGACTGAAGCAAAAAATCGAAAAAATGGTGAGAAGTGATAAACAAAAAAAAAAAAAGGGCTTCGTCTTCCATCAGCACAACGCTAGACCACTCACAGTTTTGATGACTCGGCAAAAACTGGAAGAGCTTGGCTGAGAAGGTTTGATGCATCCACCACATAGCCCTGACCTGACATCATCGGACTACCATTTGTTTCGGTCAATGCAGAACTTCCTTAATGGAGTAAATTTGGCTTCAAGAGAGCCTGTGAAAATTACTCATCGCAGGATTCCGAGGAGCCAGAAAAGTTTTACCCTGATGGAATGATGTATCTAGCGGAAAAATAGCAAACAGTGGTCAGCCAAAACAGTACATATTTGGTTCAAGTTCATTATAAATATAAAAAAAATTAGTTGAAGTTTGATTAGAAATGCGAAAAGACTTTTCGACTTATCCAATATTAAGGTAATTTTAAATAATATTCTTCTTCAATAGATTGCGAACCGGCTTTAGAATCTGAGAAGCTGCAAGAAAGCTTTACAAATTACAAATTTGGTTGAAAACCAATTGTAATAATTCTTTAATACTACCATCTTATTCCCTTTAAAATAACTAATATGCTCCAATAAAATACAATCACTCCGAAGTCTGTGAGGGAGCCCAGGACTGTTCCATTTTGAAAATGGCGTTGAATATGATATCTCGAATTACAAATGTACACACACACACACATTGACCACGCTACAACCCTATCGCATTGCCGCAAGCGTTGGGTATAAAGTATTACTAGAGACTCTCAAAGTAGTATATATGTATGTAAGCGTATTTTCTACAACAAGTTGACATAATGACTTCTTCATTTAAATATTGCCGAATGTAAATGTGAATATTATGGAATTATGGCCTTTAAATCATGGTTTTATTAAATATCTACGAGCGATTATGAATTTATAATTATAGTAATGGTGTCTGCACCTTAACTAAAAACTGGCATACCTCCAAGTTCGCTTACATACTCTTGCGGGCAAACTTGTTTATTTTTTCGTCCGACTTCAAGAGAAGCCGGTGAGGCTTAGGTAAAAATTAAAAAACAATTTACACTTGACGCGTTGCCCACACAGCGTCTTTATTGGTAACCAAAACAATTTGTTCATGCTTGGATTTGATTTTTTTTTTTTTTTAGTTGCCATTGACGAAACTGAATCCATAAAAATTCTTTTCAGATATTAGATAAAAGGATTCCTGTTTAAATTCTCCCCCTTACACTAACCGTTTCAAACTTATAAATCTCCCGACACTCGCTAGTCGTAGGAAGATGCTTCGTATAATATTTGTTGTATTCTCTTATCTGATATTAATTTTTTACGTTCCGCTCGCTGTACCAGGCAGCTTAGACCCTTACTTTGAAAATTATATCGAACAAATTTTGAGTTAAACGTACCATTGCGCCGTATATGTCATGATTTCAATTCTCATTCCAGCACATTTGACCTAACAAACTCCATCTTTACCATTAAAAAAATTATTTTACCTACTCTTAACAAGTAACATTGGCTGTTGAAATTTTTGTTTCTGTAGCTGAGCAGCTTAAGATCGCAACGCTTAAAACTCTCTTGCCTTTTATGGCCCGTCTATTTCCGCTCGTTCGCGGATTGCGCCCCTCCCGTCGGTTGGTCTGGAGGAGGGTAATCGTTGGCTATTATTATTAGTAGTGAAGAAAAGTTATGAGGAATTTTAGCTATGCTTTTGCTGCTGTTGCGGAAGGTCATGCTGATTGTGTTACACAACTAAATTTAGAATTAATATGAAATAATAAATACAAAGAAGGACTCGGCCTGTCTATAAAATATCTCCAATGGCATTAGCTTTATTTCCTTTGGACCAAAAGAATATGGAAAGAGTGATATTTTATAATTTAACTTCTAACGTTTCTGAACTAAAGGCCTTATAAGCTTTGATTATACGAAATGAGGAACTAGGATGTTGACAAAATTATTCCTGCTTACTATCAAGGCCTTGGATAGATAAAGAACTCATTTCCGCGAAAACTAACAACTTCTGTCTCGAATGAAGAGCAAGACAAACAATAAATCATAAAATAAATTCCTTTTGTAAATATTTTAATTTAATCATTAACAATAACAATAACTGGCATGGTTCAACAACAATTTCGAAATATTTCTAAATATTTCTTGTGATAAATTTAAGAAATCAGTTCTTTAATGAGGCAAAAGTTCAGTCCTCCGATCAATAATCCATCTTAAAGACGGATGATGGAAGAGGGCAAGTAGGAGTTACGGGGAGCATGCACTTCGGGTGCTTGAACTGGAGCTTGGGATGCGA